CTGTATAAAAACTTCCCATAAATTGTTGAGGTAATATTTTAATGACCAAGAAAGTTGTATCTCAATAGTATATCCTGATATTTTATTATTAAAACTCTCCAAAGTAATTTTATCACTTTTTAATGTATTCCATCTAATTCTTAAAAAAACAGACAAACCTTATAAGATAAAAAAAGGAAATTTCGTAAAACAATTTTTAGAAAATACAGTTGATTGATAACAAAATACATTACAAGCCATAAGAAAATAAAACAATCTAAATTCATATAAAATTTTGCTTCTGTATCATGACAGAAATTTGTTTAAAATATTGTTTGGCATTGATCATAAGGGCACTGGTTCTAAAAATATCAGCCAAAGAGCACATACAATGTTAAGTGCAATCATTAAAGTTTATGTTTAACAACCACTTGTACATGGATCAGCTGTTTTAACACTAAAAAGAAATATGAAGCATATCTGCTGATGACTAGATTTTCAGTATATGTAAATCATCCACAATAATGTTGGGGAAAACTAATGGCCTTACGTTAACATTTTTCTTACACTGAAAATGTATTTCCGATAGGTACTTGCCCCTCTCACACAAAGCTATCCCAATTTTTTTCTGCCCTCTAAACACTGCAAAAAAAAATGTAGGGCTCTCTATCAATTGTATTATGCCACCTATATTGGCACAGCTAGCTCCCTCTTCTATTCCTACTCAATCCTCACTTTCAAAAATTGGCAGGCTCCAAAAGAAGGACACCAGCAATATGGAAAATGAGTGGGAAGTGTGTGACAGGAGGTAAGTGCCTATTGGAAATACATTTTCAGCATAAGAAAAATGTTAACTTCGTCTCCCGCAAAACTAGAATCCCACACTGCAAAGGTGGAGGGGTCAGTGTAGGTGCACATAATTTAAACCAAGTGTAAAGTGCCCACCCAGAATGAACGAATGTGTTCTGAGATGAAAATGAAGCACACTTGTGGGGTACTGCACTACTTTTGGAACAGGTATGCTTTTCACCCTGTATGTAGGTAATTAATCTGACACAGGCAGAAAAAAAAGGATATGTACAAGTGTAATTTGTTATGAGAGGTGCAATCCATAGTAAAATATAAACAGTGTTATCTATGTACATTCACAACCTTAACTGGACAGACGAGGTTCCATAACTCATCCTTGGATTAGGAGGTTGAGGGTGAAATAAAAATATTGTAACATCAACATAGTGGATAAAGCATATGGACCATGTTATATATATATACACATCAACCCCAACCATTAGTAAACAGAGTGTCATACATCAAGCAACTGGAATTACAAAGAGGAAGTGAGCTTTCACCCCAAACCAGACAAACTCCCAAAACAACCATAGGAGCAAGAAGTCCAACAAACCAAACACTGCATTACAGGGATGTGGCATTGCCTCAACTCAACCATAAGAACAAGGTAATATCTGTAACCGGTATTATGAACAAAATCATAACTCACTCAACTGTAAATGCAGGGAAGAGACATCCTACATCTGGAATTACGAGGAGGACATGGAACATTAGCTCAACCACAGGAACAGTGTACATACGTCCTATTGCAGATAATACAAAGCAAAGTCTTCCAAAATCAACAATAGAAGCAGGGAAAGAACTTCCTGCAACTGGAATTAATGAGAAGAGAGGCCTCTACTACACATGACTGTAGGAATAGGGCTGTGCCATCCCAAATCTGGTATTACAAGGAGAATCCTGCATAGGCTGGACCTGCTCCAACTGACATCTGTCAACCTGGGTAAAAATATCCAGGGGAAAAGGGAAACCAGCTTTGCCCTCTTGTCACGTAGTGTGTAATCATGAGTAGGTATGGTAGATTCTAAACTCACTCAGGAGGAAACTTCTATGGTACACTACCCCAGTGACTGAGAACTGGGAATTGGTAAAGACTAGTGCACTCCGCTGGAAAAAAAATGTAGGGGGGGGGTTAAAAAGGGCAGGTAGTATGGAGGAATGTCACATTCTATTTTGAAAAGCAGACTGACTCCAATTTATTCAATCAAAGTGTGGGTAGGAATCCCCCTTCTGCTTTACTCATGAAGTCCATGAGTAACGGTCTACTACTAAGTGAAAATTATCGATAGAAACATATATATATATAAACCATGGTTATGCCATCAGTGGTCTTGTGGAAACAAACCATCTCTACAGTGAGTGTTATAGTGCAATAAGTAAATAGTATGGGTTTGAGGCAAAGCATGCCTGACCAGTCAACACCTGCCATATAGTGGGATCCCATTAACAGTGGTTAAAACTAGGGTTGTTGAAAATAAAAAACAAAAATGAAAGGAAGTGATAAGACTTACCCCAGTCAAAGGCAAACAGATGTGTGTACAATCGCTATGGAAAGGAGACAATAGCAACTAAAAAAAGATACAGCCAGATTGTGCAGATAATGAGCAATGAAGGTATTTGGAGTAGCCAACATTCCAGTCTGGATGATCTCCTCCAACAGATGAAAAGATGAGAAGCGAAAGATATGGTGATATGAAAAATATGATGAGAAGAAATGTTGTGGAGACGGCGACCTTCCATGGATAAGTCAGAGTATGCTAGCCTAATGAGCAGATGAACTCAACAAGTTAACATGATAGATAATAGATCTTGGGAATATGGTTAAGGAACTTGAACCCTGAAAGGAAGCAGGCCATGCCACATAACACCATAAGGAGCAAACTGGACAAAGAAGCTGATCAGGATCAAAATGGGAGTACTGGTAGGAGATGGAAGTTAACAAAATGGATGTTACAGCCTTCAGCATAGGCCTGAGGGAGGAAAAACCGGTTGGGATATAGTATGACATACAAGGAATGGTAGAGGAAGCGGGTAACATTAAAGGCAGAAATATCTGATCGACGACATCTGCAAACAAGGAGGAGAAGGAAATAGGTCTTGAGGAAGAGATGGTAGATGGAACATGAAGACAAAGGTTAAAGAAGAATGGGAAAGGTATAAAAGAGCCACACTGACATTCCAATCAGACAAATCAAGGAACATGGAGGATACATGACTCAAAAGGAGTGGAAAAATATAGGAAATAACAGGGCAAGGCAAAACCAGATGAAACCTGGAGAAATGGAAAGTATTTGACAAGGCTACCTGATACCTAGCATTGTCGAAGTGGAAAAGCCTTTGTCAAACAACCAGGTGAAGAATAGGAAAATATGAAGAATGGGCGAGTGGGAAGGATGGAAACCATGTCGAAGAAACCAAAGGTGGAAGGTATACCGTCACCTGAGGTAAATGGATGTGGAAGAAAGTCTAATGGATTATGAAAGGAAAGATGCAACACGTGGAGTCAGTCCCTGGGCTGAGACAATTGACCTGACAAAAGCCATGCATGGAGACATCTGGATGAACAATGCAGACTGAGGCTGAAAGAATAGGGACCAAAACAGGGGAAGGGTAGGTAGGTTGTACAAGTAAAGGTCAGAGCAGTGGGAATGATGGTTGTGATGACCAAAATGGAGCCACCAGTAGGACGACACACGGAGTTGTTTTGAATAAGGATAGAACTCTGAAGAGGAGTTGAATAGGAGGGTAAGCATAGATGTAAAGACCACTCCAATTTTGACAGAATGTGACCACTCCAGAGTTGATGGGCAAGGAAGGTTGGTGTTCCAGAGGGTGGTGAAGACATATACGAGGTGTTCCCAGCTGAGAATACCCATCTAAAGACCTGTGGATTGAGGGACCACTCTACAAGGAGAATCTTGTGAGGAGGAGATAATTGATCCACCACCAGATTCAGAGCCAGTGAAAAAGCAAGCCAAGGTCACAATGTGGTGACTGTGGGCCCAGAAAGGAAACCCAGGATCTGATAACACCGAGACCTGGATTTGGTACCCCTTGGCTCTGTGATATAAGTGACCATTGAGGAGATGTCAGAATGTACCACAACCACCACCCCTCATGAGAGGAAAGAAGTGGGACAAAGCTTAACACACTGCCAAAGGCTCGAGAATGACGATATGGAGAGAAGACTACTTGATTGACCAGAGACTGGAAATTTCTCAGGAGTCAAAGTAAGAACCCCAACCCTCTAAAGATGAGTCTGTGAAAAGATGTAAATCCAGATGGGATGGAGTAAGCAGCGCCCCCTCCGTCTGGTCTCTGTCTAACCACCAAGCCAGTAATCCAAGGAGAAGTTCCACTGAGCTAGGAGTGTCCACCAAAGGGAATGCATAGGAGCCCGACACATGGGAATGAGAGCTTCCAAGGAAGCCCACATACCTAAAGAGAAAAAATACATCTTGAACTGTAAGAAATGTGAAATGAGGGACATGTGAACAGCTTGCTCTGAAGAAGAAGAGGAGAAGACTGGGCCAGACTGAGGTTGGAAAGAAGACCTCCCGAAATGAGACGGGGTTAGAATGGACGTCCCCACTATCATCAGGAATTCCACCTGTGCTGCTTCTTATAAGAGCAGAGAAGTGTGGTCTATGAACTGTGAATAGGAAGAAGCAAGCAGGAGCCAATCATCCATAGAAAAAAAAAAGAGTTCAAAGACTCATAGAGTGAAGATGTTGGGCAAAAGTATGTACCCTCCCTCTTATAATTTGGTAACAAGAAACAAATTAAAAAAAAACTGAAATGGCAAAGAAGCATGTTCATAAATGGTAGCTACATGCAACAAAATACACATCTAAACAATGTTGTGTCAATCGAGAAAGGGAGGATTGAGTGGGAATAGCAGAGAGAGCTAGCTGTGCTAATATAGGTAGCACAATACTATTGGTGGAGAGTATTAACATGATATGTACATATTCAGAAATGGCACAAAATTGATGAGGTATATAGACTGGTGCACTGATAACTTTGTGTGTGTGTAAGAAGGTAAGCCCATATCAGAAGTTAAGCTTTCATGTACATGTGTTTTAGTCTATATACTTTAGATTTATTTCCAAATAAATGGAATAGAAATCTATATTAATTGTTTTAGCAATGCTTTTGGTGTATACATAGTGTTATTTCCTATTCTGTACAACCTCAAACTTACCCCTGCTATTTACCCAGTAGTCAAACATACTATTTTCAGAGTCTTCTGCTCTAGGTGGCAAATCCAAGATGGAGGAGTAGTTTTCTTGTAAATATGACTCTAACTTTAAACGATCTGACAGTTCCAAGAAGGACCCGATACTCCACATTAGCACGAAAACATAAAGTTTTTGAAGCATGCTCTGTGACACCTCAATTTCTCTTTCATCTCTTGGACTTAAGCCTTCCAGAAGAGTTATGGCCTATGTTAAATAAGAAAATATTTAAATTAATCTAATTAGTTAAATATTATGATTTGTTTCCAAAGTGATAGTAAAATAAACAACTGTATCACTTAAATCTATTTACTAATTAGTTATTAATTATGTTTGGATTTATATTAGTATTAGATCATTATAACCAATATGTTTATATTCTATGTTTCAGCCACTAATCTGCTGCCATATACATGGGAGCCTTGAGAATGAATGTATGTTATGGTAGGAGTTGGGATTCAAACATGAGTTGTTTTTTTTTAGAAAAGGTAGGTGTGCTCTCCATTCATCCAGGCACTTATGTCACTGGGATTTGGAACAAATAGCTAATTTGGATCATTTCAAGAGGGGGGTATCAATATTTTTGCTGACTCCTACACCAGGCTTTTCACATGTATGGCTTATGTTTCATTCCATTTTATTGTACATTATTTTTCTCTGATATGAAGGTTATTGCAGAAAGATTGGTATTTCAGAGTCTTGTGTGTTTATTATGCTCCTGAATTCTGATTTTTGTTGGTTTGTTTGTTTCTCCAATTTTATGGAGTCTATATACATAAGGGATGTTGTAATTGTATTGCAGCTTCTGAAGACTGTCTTAATTTCATACTCATTGTATATCCTTTGGAAGTTTTCAGAAAAGCCTTTGAAATAGGAAAAGATGGGTGTATTTCTGTAATTTTCATCTAGCTTATCCTTAGTGTCTGTCTCTCTTTAATTTCCTCTTTATTGGGTGTTCAGGCTATCTGTTTTTCAAAGACAGTTGTAGATGTTTATATTGTTCTTAACACATTTTCTTTTACAATTCTTGTTCATTCTAGACTAACTAATCTTATTCTACCCATCTTTACACTGTTATGGTGGTTTGATTGACAGCTAAGATACTTATTTGTATCTGTTGGTATTCAAATACCACAATCTTATGGTAAGTACTTAAGCAACTTACATTTTCCAAAACACAAATCTACTCTATATCAATGTGATGCTTTTCTAACTTATGAAATTATTACTATGCCGATTATCATGTCAAAACTTTTATGAATATCAAAATACAAATTTACCTAACTCAATTCTAATGCATTTTCTGCATACTGTATCATTACCAAATCAACAATTCATTATATATAATAAAACATGAGTAACTATTTTTTACCCCATGAACAACAGATTGATTGAATTATCAAAGTAAGAAAGACATTAGTTTTTGTTTTGTGACTACAAAACTCTGTAAAAAGAATTAATTGCAGTTTAAATATAGCATAGTAGTCTAGCAATTATGCAGGGTGAATTAAACTGAAACATTTTCATGAAAGACTATGTCTTTTCACTCACAAAGTGTAAGAACTTTATATGAAAGGCATTATTTTTACGCTGTGTTAGATTAAAATTATTATATTTATCCTGTATTAGAGACTAATATCTATACAACATTAATACATATGCTTAGTATAAACAGTGTAAAAAATAATCTAGTTCATGTTTTAAATTTTCAAAAGAAACTGGTACTAGGCTATCTATTACCAGCAATTTAACATGCAAGCAAAATGTAACTTTATAAAAGCAATATGCACCTGAGAAATAATGTTACATTCTAATACTTCCATCTTGAATGTTAACTGTTGAGTAGACCAGGCAAATGCATCATGGAAAGATTTCTCGAACAGTTCCATGATAGTTGCTCCTTCTGTAGAGGGCCACTTACAAAGTCGAGCCTAAAATTCACATATAGTTTTTAATTAATATTTCACAAAAATGTTTCATTTCCAATGGAATGAAAGTAAGTGTAAAGTTTGCCATAATTTCTATAATAGTGAACAAAGGTAAGCAAACTATATAGATTAAAACTAAATAATTTAACTAACACATACCTTACTGAAGACAATGTAGTATACCAAACTAACTAGAAATACTTATGTCATAAATCAATGCATCAGAAACTTAAAACTCACAATGATTAGCCTAATTGAATTACCAGTTGTACACCCTGTTTATAAACAATAATTCTCTCTGAAATCCTAATAATTTCTCACAATAAGATTTGGCTAGCTTAAGAGTAGGTTAGTCCTACTTCTTCACTATGGTAACATAAGCTTTATAAGTGTATTTATGATTCAAAACATCACTCCGAGCATTATATATAAGATTTCATGAAAATAACTACAAACAAAAGTGGAGTAAATTAAAACTTACAAAGTATATATGTATAAAAGTAATTCTACTTTGAATCAAAGAGTTTACCAATTGGAAACATGAATATGCTTACATGTATTTGCAATAGTGTACACATGAAATTGCAAACTGGTGAGTGTTATAAAATTTACTATAAATTCATAAATAAATGTACACTGATTTCTTAGATAAGAATGAAAATGTTTATGATTATTTTATTTTCAATCACACTACCTGAAGAATTGGCTTCCAGGTGAGCCCCGAGGAACTCATGTAAACCATTCCATTTCTGGACACTGTGGCTGGAGAGGCATTGTCAATGTTATGCACTTCAAATACTATTTTACAGTTTGGTGCCATGGGAATTCTGTCTCCATTGGCTAGGGTCAAAGTCTTGTTATCATCCAAAACAGAATTCAAGTTCTCAATCCATATAGCATCAACAGGTCCATCTAATACTAACCAAATGTGTTCACCTTTGTACAAATAAACAATTATCTTAATATACTGATAAACAACATGCTGCAGTCACATTGTTTTTAAAGTACTATAAAGATAAGCTATATAGCCATTAAGAAATAAACACATTCCTGAAATTACTTGTACACTATATCCAACCTTATAAATCAAGAATGAAAGAGGATTAACTAATAAGCAAAGTCCCACTGTTCATACAAAGAAATTTCTTGCTTTTGAAAGACTTTTTACCAAGAAAAAGTATGACACTAGTATTTTCCAGTGTTTGACTTTATGTGTGAGGCAAATACATTAAAGATATAAAATAATTCTGGTGAAGTTGAATAATTATTACTAAGAACAAAATCACATAAAAGTTTTAAGAAAAATAATACTTTCCTGGCTGCTTATTTTTTGTGAAAAAAAAAAGACCACTGCAAGTTTTCATTCTGTTCCTTTCCCATGAATGTTTGTCACCAATGAATTTTTGTATCCATCAAATAATTTTTAAACAAAATAAATTTTAAGATACAAATCTTGGAAATAAAAAGTACTTTCACCTGTTAGAACAAATACTTCATCCCATGTAAAGTAAACTTAACAAATCATTGAAATAGCACATTTAAATTTTCATCTATGATCAATTTTTATCTAAATTATCTAATCTAATTAGATTATCAATTTGATTTTTTTCTATATATAAAACAATGTAATGCTCAAACTGTTTATCAGGTTTAATATTTAAAGATGAAAATACTACTACATGAACTAATGTTAAGAATTCCACTAGTCATACTTATTACGTGTAATTTATACATAAATTCTGAAAGCTACAGAAACCATACAATAAATTGTCTCAGTACTAAAACAAACTCTAAACTATTAAACATATTTTCTGTATTTTCTTTCAGTCAGCTTGGACACAGAAAATAACTCAAGTAAGTAATTAAAGTTTTTTTTTCTTTTCTGGTACACATGAAATGTAAAATCACTAATTAGCGATTAGTGATGTTTTCTTACAGAAAAGAAAGTCTGTGACATTTCAAGATAGGTGTTTGTCTTTTCTATCAGTGAATGGGAAAAGATCAAGGGACTGCCATGCTCTTGCATTTGGATCAAAGTGGATAAAGGTCACATGTGCAAACCTAGCTATTGGTGTTATTTTGTTTTGTATTTAAAGCCAGGTTTGCCCCTGTAAGAATAACATTTAACTTTTAGCTTTCCTTTTGAGAACTTTAACTTTGATAGCTTTTGATTGTGTAACATTTTGCTAAACTTAAATGTTAGCTTTTGTTTAACATTTATTTTATTTTAATGTTGACTTGTTTAACTTGACAAGCTTCTTTTTGATTTCATGTTTAGATATTTAGTGTAGCTTAAAGTTGTAAGTTTGACTGTGTGTATTTGTGAATAAAGTATGTTGTTGTTGCCATCAGTGTTTGACTATTTCTTCCCAATGAACTCAATTAGAGTTTTGAGAGAAACAAAATATACACTCCATAACTAGATGTTCTCTATTTAATCACACAAAAGGTTTCTACAAACATTAACAAGTGTAGTAAACACATGTACCTTTCTTAGCTTTTAACGTTTTCCTCCATAAAGTAGAAAAAATCCCATCTGTCCAATCATTAGTGGCTACATCTAGTCTTCCAAACATTTGAGGAGCTGTGATAGCTTTAGGATTCATTCTCATTTCTTTGTGTGGTTCTCCTAAAGCTGTCAGGGCTTTCATCAAGATATGGATGCAAGTTGTTTTTCCTGCTCCTGCTGGGCCTAAAGTCATCATCCCATGTCTTACCAGCTGAGTCTCATAAAGCTAAAGGAAAGAAAACTTCATTTTTATACATATATATTGAAGAATAGTATATATTATTTTGTAAATAATTGTTTTCAAAGTTCCTGAAATTAATTTTTATAACTATATAGCCATACAAATAGAAATTATCATGAAAATTTTAGCTTCAGACAATTAGATATCTAAGTTTTAAAATTCTTGGTTATTTCTATATTATACACTTATCCAAATAATTGCTACATATTAGAAAACAAATTAAGGTTATATGGAGTTTCATGTGATTCACAAGTTAATATTCTCAAAAAAAAAATTTTTGGTAAAAGATAATGCAACAATTTAATTATCTTAAATAGTCGTAAAGCGTGCATAATTGAAAAAAAGAATGTTTTCTTCTTGGTTTTCTTGGGTTTATGGCTGAAAATATTATTAGCAGTAAGGGTAACCCCAGCTGATGAAATAATTAATTCTGATCATTATAAGAAAGTAAAGTATAAGTTTGTGAAATAAACTGAACAAATAATACTAAATACAGACTTATTTGAAGAGCATTTCAAATGCTCTATAATTGCACAGCTTCAAGCAATCAAATATTGTTCATTGCTTCAGTTAAGTATTTTGTTTTAATTCTACATAATTTATGGAAAATTATTTAAAAAATTCCTATTACCTTTAAAACTGGTTATAGACAAGACTGTTTTGTATTTTCCTAAATTATTCAGTTTGGCAATATACATCGTGAAAGTTAAAGTTAACACCCTCCTATGCCACTTGTAAGATCATTCAGAAATTTCAATATATTTTAAATCATGTAGGAGTTAAAGCCAATGTGTACTCTTAGATTTTTATCATAAGTCTTAAGGTGCTAATGAAATAAAACATTATATCTTATATATTTGTATATAAAAAATGTGACTTGTACAATAGGCCTACAGGGAATCAAACTTCCCTTGTCAGTCTATCATATACAAAGAATTTAGAACTAAAGTAAATATTTCATAACTAAACTTGTTTCTTTAACAAATATGAAACTATATCTTAATTTTGTTATTTAAAATATAAACTAAAGAAGCACCTTTACATTAGAAAACTACAAAATAATCATATTTTTGATCACAAGTTCCTACTATTTACAGACAATTTATAGTTTTGTTTGTTTGTAAGACAAATCAAAACCTTGACTTCAAAAGTTGTAATGATGCTCTTTTCAGCAGAAAATTCTTAATAGAAAGTATCAAATAGGTCTTTCTTTCTCTGTAAGATCTTTCAACAATCTTGAATTATGGGTATTATGGTTTATTATATAACCTTGTAACTCATGCTAACTATGCATAACTTGTACAAAAAAGCTAATATTTAATATATAAAAGTTTATATTTTTTTATGTTTCTTTTGATAAATATTAAAAACATGTTATGAAATTTGACACAAAGAAAATAAGGAGAATTTTAGCAACAAATCAACCTAAAAAATCAATAAAAACTACTTCTATCACACTATTTAAAATTTATAATAAGCTTACAGTTTGAAGAGAAGTGGAAACACTAAATTTTGCTGATTTAAAAGTGGCTTCAGTTCAGCAATCACAAGATTCTCTAATATTCTTAACTGCTGCTCATTCTCAAATCTACTAATTATCATGATTATAAACAGTGATGTAATTTGATTAAGGCTGTAATGTGTTTTATTGTAAGCATTAGTGTAAGTATACGTTTTTAGTTATATTCATTTTGGTTCAAACTTATATTGTAGATTTTCAAAAATAAATCCTTTATTTCAGACTTTAATCCATAGATATACCAACCAAACTTTACTTAAATTTCAGAATAGCTGAAAAATCATACATAAATACCCAAAAGTATTTCTTTAATCTAGAAATTTTAAGACAATGGAAACTATTTCAAGTCCTTCTATGCTTTTTTTTTTTAAACTTAGTTTCTTCACTAAAAATTTGTCACATAAAATCATATAAAGAAATTTTCAATAACTTCTGCTAATTATTGTACATTGTAGTTCATATATCAGTCTAACTAGAAGTGTCATAATTAAAAAGAACATTTATGATGATTAGAATGCATCGATTTGTCAATTAAGTAACTTCACTGTTGCTGGTACTTTGGCACAAATACAGATCTTGCAAGATGACATTTTTCACAAATATATGTTAATTAAATATCTAAGTAAGCAATTATGTGCCTCCTTAGCTGTTTTGTAAAGTTCAGTGTGTAAGCTAGATTTCATTCATTTGAAAAAACCAACTGGTATGAATAGTAATAATGTCTTTTCACTAATCCAGTCAGTTCTATCCAACACTGTAATTCTGTCTTGACCAAACCACATGATGTAACTTCCAATCTATCTTCTCCTCATTGGCATAATGATTTTGTAAAGGTTTGTTCCTTAACTTCTTAGAATGTCGAGATTTTGAATACAGTGAGAAGCCATATTAGTAGTTTTATCTATTTTTAGAATTATAACTTTTGAAAAAACTTATTTCAATCCTAATAATAAACAGTAACTTATTAAATATAAACTCAAGTGACTTAGCTGTGAGGAGGAATGCATGGTTCCACCAATAAGTGGTTTTCTATTCATACAAAAGAACAATGTTCTAGAAAATCTCAAGAACTCCTCAAGTACTGCAAGACATTCTTGAACCCAGTTTTGTGTCACTTCCACACTTAATAACTTTGTGATAATTACTGACCAGAAGCAATTAAGGTTTCAAAAGTTTGGCAATTGAAGAACTGAAGATTACTTGAAATCAGAAGAATTTTGTGCTTCTGTTTTCTTCTTGAATAGTTTTGATTTAATTACTTTCATTATTTTGTCATAGTAACTACGTATACTTTAATGCTTTTTTCATAAGCAAAATAAGTTATGATATGTCTATACAAATTATTAAATAAAGTAAGAATTGAATATGTAGTCAAAAAAGTTTAGTTCAAAACCTGGATTAACTTTAGGGACCACAAATGATGATTAATTAATCCCAATTCAGTGATACATTCTGATATAGCTTTTTCCAAATCAGGATATCCCTTCTTGTCCATTGCAATACCAGGAAACAAATCATTGATAAGAGAGAGAAACAATGGCTCATCTTCATCAATCTGTTTGAATATTAAGTATTTATGTAAATAACACATAAGCACATTTTATGTTTATGTTAAAATACCATATTTAACAAACTAACATAACAACTAACTATGTGCTTGAAAAAAAATTTTTTTTTCAATAAAATTCAAAATTAACTATTAAGAGTAGTCATACTTTTGTGTATTAACTATTAAATCTAACGTAAAGAAAAAAAAGCTGTACATTACATGGTACATTATTACAAAGTCCTTCCAAAGATACTAAACACATGCAATTTAGAACACAAAGGAAGAAATGAAGAGTATGCATGTTTTTAATGCTTAATTCATTCTTTTAAATAGAACAGTAACTAGAAACATCCTGAAGTACAAAGTCATTTTAAATAATAACACCTAGTTATTTAAAATTTACTAATTTTTTATATAAATAATAGAGCTATGATAATTATATTTTCATTCATTTATTCTGAGGCATAAAGCTTTAACAAGAAAAAGGCTACATAAATTACAGAAATATTCCTTTTATACATTTTAGCCATATGATACAAATAGTAGACACCACTGATGAAATTACCATTTATACTGGAAGCCTTACCAACATATTCAGTATGGTTGCTATCTAACAAACCATGTTACTGATTCATACAACTAAGGTTGTTCATTGAAACACATTTGGTACATTAATAATTTGATTAATAATTAGCAAATGCTTAAGCTCTCCCAATATTTCAGAGGCTTTTATGAATATTTTGAAGTTTTTCCATAATTTTAGAGGTTTCTTGACTATAGAAAGGTTTCTGAAGTATTTATGACTTGGTTCTTTATACTTTACCTATTCATTAGAAGTGGTGTGTTGTTTATTTTAGTATACCTCTGTCATAAGGTGGTGTTTATGGTACATTTATAAACCATAGAGACTCTTCCAAAAGATAATATTAGACCTCCCCTTATACCCTTGGGCATATGTTGATTTTTTCAAATCACTTTAATTCCAGCATGAATTTACCCTTTGTATACTTAAATTTAATAGATTCAATTTTATATTAACTTAATAAAAAATGCAATATTGCTCTACATAAGTAAAATAGTAAGAAAGTGTTCTAATTACAACTAGAAGTAATATAAATCCCATTTTGCCTTTTTATAATAATACTTTAATATAAAACTTTATAGCTTTCAACATACAAAACATTTGAGCAAGCTATCTCAGTCTGAAAACATTAAACTTCAATACCATTATACAACTAAACTACAAGCACACAGTATTCAAGCAGCTATATAATCAAACTCTTGTTTAATATTAATTCACTGAATAAAAAAATATCAGCAACAAAGTAAATCAATGTAGAGATTTGAAATTACTTGCACAATTCAAAAACACACAAGTAACTGTACAGTTACCAATTTAGAAAGATTCATGTCTCGAAGCACCCTCATCACAATCATGCTTTCTGAATCATGAGGATTGGATCTTTTCACTGCTCCTAAAGTCCTCAAAACTGACAGGATATTCCGAAGCCCAAAGTCATAATGAACCTGGTAAAGTTTGTGTAATAACACTATATTCTTATAATTGATGTGGCTTTAGTGTATTTATGAGAAGAAAATACACAGAAATATGTTCAACAATTAAAAGAATTAATGAAAATAAGTTAAAGTTACTATTAGTCAAAAATAAATGTTTTTTTTTAATACATACATTTAGTTAGGTTAAAATAGCTTCTATCAAAAAAAGTTAGAGAGTTAGATAAGTTTTGTGACAAAATTAGCTTTAAATAATCAATTGTGTTTTTAATAACAATAGACCAAAAGGTCAAGTTCACAGCATATAAATAATCAGCACTTTTTTTTTAATGGGAAAGAAATAGCAAAAGGAAACCACACCTTTTTTTGGTAACTTATAAAATGTAAACAGCTTTGACATACCTCTTGTTAAATACACTTCATTACAATTCAAAGGTAACAACATGAACATTTAAAGAAAGTTATACAGGTTTATTTTTATCAACATACAAGTCTAAAATATTGTGAAAATGCAAGGAAGCAAAAACCAAATTTTATATAAATAATACTGTTTTACTTAAAAAATTTCTATGTTTGAAGGAGCCGGTTCTTAACATTGTAATAACTGACAGAATTGTCAGTCAATGCTGACATTTAATTTTTGATTAAAGGAGAGATTCTTGCTCGTGTCGCCCTCTGTCACATTATCTACAGTTGAATGGAGTGAAAATTTATTAGTGACTGTTGCTTGTCATTGTTGAGAGGTATGCCACAGAGTGACACATCATAAATTTTTTTTGTTTTGCCAGAAAAAAAATTATAAAGTTAACAGGAATTCACTGTAAGTCTCCAAACTGTAAGAAAAGGATCGGTGATTGGTCTAAATTCCTATTCCAGGTTGCATTAATTATTTCACATGACAGAAAAAAGTTGCAAAATGGAACGTTTTTGTTTTTTTTCCACATTAAAATTATGGATGGGACAAATAGTAGTTTTGGTCAGATATCAGATACCTGGCTCGTGATATCTGATCAAATTTGGATAATTTTGTACAGGACAATAGATGTGGCCATACATACTGAAAATGTGCCACAGGTGTGAGCTACCACTTCATTATAGTATAGTAATAAACTAGTTAGTTCATAATTGTTTGTTTGAAAATTTAACTAGTATGTGCACGGGGATGCACAGTTTTGTGACTATCTGGGGTCTTTTACAGAAATGTGACACATGTTGGCATGAGACAGTACTTTATATACATTATTTATATACATCTTTTTTTTATTTACTTTTTTCACTGGGATACAATTTCTTGAAGGAAGAAGGCAACAGCACTTTATCTAAATATGCAAATCACTGTTTTCTATATTTTAGGGAAGTTGAATGTTTGAAATATTTTTGTGAGGGAATATGTTGAAGAAAATGTAGAGCTACAAAGATTGATTTATTCATTATTGTTGCTTAGCTGGTAAAATGGGTATATGAATATATGCTAGCCTTCAACATCATTGTGCCCTCGTTATGATGAATTGAGCAATCATCAAGTTTGACCTGTATGTACATTTTTCAAGCTTTTCATTTTTAATGTTTTGCGTTTTATTGTAAACCTTTTGCATAAAAACAAGGAGTTTTTTGTAACCACAACTGCACATACACTAGGTAGTCTTTTACAAAATGTTAGTTGTGTTTTTCCAGTGTATAATAATCATATTGATTGTGAATCACCTTTTTGAGTACATTTATTAAGGGTGTGATATTTTTTTACACTCGTATGTAAAGCTCACCCTAAAACAATTGAATGGGGATAATGACATCTTTTATTGTTCTATCTTAATGTAATACAGATATACATAACAGCAACTTTGGTTAAAAAAACCTTAATACCAATGAGTCATCCAGTTCAGTTTATTGTGTTGCATCTAGTATTGGAATGACATTCTATATTCCATGATACCAGATCAGTAAATAAACCCCAAATCTTCACTTTGCATCATACACATTTTGTTTTAGGTAAAATGTAACATTTTAAAATCTCATGCCTTGTTTTCTTTCTAGCACCTGTCTTCTCAGTAAAAACCTGTATTAATTAGTGGTCTTAACTCAAAATTTTTGTATGTGTAACACCCATCTGCTCAGTAAACAGTGATCTGACATACAAGATATTGCTTACATGCCATCTTCCCTCACTTAAATGAGACTAACTCCCATCCCCCTTGCAAAAACCTTCAGTAATCAGTGATCTGAGCTGCTAGATAGTGCTTATACGGCATCTTCCCTAATTAAAATTATTCTAACACCTATCTTCCCATTAAATTTCTATGGTAAATAGAGATTTTTGTTGTGCTGTCTTCCCTCATGAAAAATGTGTTATATCCATCTTTGTAGTAAATACCTATAGGAAACAGTGACTTAAGTTGCTATATAGTGTATGTGCAATCTTCCTGTGTAAAAATATATCTAATTATCATGAATAAAAACACTTAAAAATGTATTCTGAATGGCAAGAAGATATTAGCAATTTATGATATGTATCTTCCCCATAACAGTATGTATAAAATATCAATACTTCTCTTGTTCAGAATACACAATTTAAAACCTTTCCAAAGTCTAACCTCCACGATCTTTTTATATTGCTATCTCATGAAAGTTATTTATAATGCATCCAATCATTCCAATTTTCCTTTTAGTATGATCCTCACTATATGAAGTTAAGCTGTAAAATGTTAAAAATAATTCATTGCTATTACTGAAATGTAGTTAATACTAATTAAGCAGTCAAAATAACTTTGTTCAACAGTACTGAAACAGATGTTATTTACTCCTACTAAATTAATAATAAGCTCACATTTAATAAGAATAACAAATAATTATTAAAGTATAACTCAGAATGGTGAACATTTATCTGCTCCAGTTAGGTTTCACATCATACTTTAAATATGATCAAAATTTGAAAATTTTGTGGAAACAAATTTCATAATTTTTCAATAATTCAAAGGCCAAAATTTTTATTTGTTTGTTTTTGAATTTCAGGCAAAGATACTTGAGGGCTATCTGCTCTAGCCATCCCTAATTTAGAAGTGAAAGATGAGAGGGAAGGCAGCTAGTCAACACCACCAACCTTGAGCTTTTGGGCTATTCTTTTACCAATGAAAAGTGGAATTGACTGTCAAATTATAACACCCCCATGGCTGAAAGGGCGGACCTGTTTACGAATTGAACTCATAACCTGCAGATTGTGAGGTGAGTTCCCTAACCATCAGGTTAAACCAGACAAAAGCTAAAAATGTTAGAAATTATTGTTAGACTTTTCCTAACCTGTATAACTAGAAAGTACAAGTGTGTAGTCTTGATCTGTAAATAATGATATACAGCAAAGAATGGGAATTCTTTTGATTTTCCTAAGTCATATGGTTTAATCACTAGTGACACACATGTACATATCAAATCTTAAATATGTATCACTGTCTTATGTAAAGGGAAAAAGATCTCATAAAAAAAATTAAGGAGAGAATTTTTGTCACAAACTAAAAAATTTGTAATCTCTCAAGTTAAAACACAGCTAAAAAAGAAGGTTTAATAACTGATCTTATTAGTTTTGCAGCTGAGTTAACTGTTACTATTAATACTGTAATTACATAGTTAGTTTATGTAAATATTATTCTTTACTTGTTTAGTCAGCTGCTCCTCACACAACTTGTATAGTGTGTAAAATTTACGAGCAAGAGTGATATTTTCTAAGAAACCACAACTGGCTAATTTGACCCTTATAATAATCTGTCTATCTGGAACCATCATAGCTACAGTCCGAAACTGGATCTTTAGATTTTCCGGAAGCTCCTGTCTCCCTGCATAGCCTGGATTCTGTATACCATAAAAATAATACCCGAGTTAGAAGTGACAGAAATCAAAATGTACATGCAACAGTTGAGATATGCTTTTCAACTTATTTAAGAAGGAAACTACATTGTAACACATAATAAATTAATAGACAGTAAGTATGAAAGATGATGCTTAAACAGCTAATATTTATTTTCTTCACCAAAACACGAATTTCAGTAAAGAAATGATTATGTAGAGGCCTAATATTTCCTTTGTTCACTACTCCCACTATAACAGACTAGTTTTGCTGAATTCACAGTTCATCACTTCTGCTTGTAAGAGTGAAGCAAATAAATATAATAGACTTCATATACTGGTGGAATGTAAGCAATTTGTTTGGCTTAGATTAGTGGAGCAAGACTATACATCTAAACCAAACAAACTCCTAATATTGGCAATCTTGTTTCTCTTTTGCTCCAGACTGATAGAAATATCAATCTGTTAATGTAAGATCAGCTTATTAACACAGTATCTATTCCACAAGAAACAATTACCAGAATTTTCATTTCGTACCCTGCCAACCGAAAGCACTACTTCACCTCTATTTGAGGGAAAGATCCTGTGTTAAATCAGCTATACACATTACCAGGTTCATGTTGATTTTTATTATTAATTTTGATCAAAATGGGTAGCTTGCTATAATCAGAAGTTAATATTAATTGCTGAGTTGCAGTTATAAGTGTAAAAAATCAAACATATCAGTAAGATAAACAAGTTAGCTAATAATGGTTTGAAGACTTTTTAAACAACTTTCTTCTAATACTGACAGGTTATAAAGCTTTATATGAATTCTCTTCATACAAAAACAGTACCAATGAATATTCTAATTTAAACTAAACCTCTTTACTCAATAGTAATCACCATTGTAAGAAAAATGCCAAACTCTGGATTCATTTGAACTATGTCTCCATCAGAAAATATAAACTGTTTTTTTCTTTCTTTCTTGCAAGATAGAACAATTGCAATCTGCTGAGCTGCTACTGATAACACAGGTAGATCAATACGGTTGAATTCATCAAAACATCCCCATGATCCTGACTGAGCGAGGCCTAATAAATATATAAATATTGCTATAATGACTACAAAGTATTCAACATGATCATAAAGGATGAATTTCTTTTGCATGCAAATGAATTTCTATTTTTGAAATATTTTAATTCTCTGATAGCTACATTTATTAATATTAGTTAAAAATAATTTTTTAGTAATTACAACTTTACTAACCAGGCTTCTGAATGTAAATAAACATTTTACAACCTTCCAAATCACTTATATCCCATGAATCACTTAGCATGCAGGATGCTTAGAATATCAGGTCACAGTCCACAGTGCAAAGATTCTTTATAAACGTTTTATAACTAATAACATTTATAGTGACAGCATCTTTATATTTGTTAAAAGAAAATTTCATTTCTATTAATAGCTCAAGTAGAGGGTGTTCTCTTCCACAATTAGATATACTATTTCAATCAATGATGACAAATGATTTCCCCTTCCTAATTGTTAAATACATCAGAATGCCACATTCAGAGCATAAAGGAAGTCCAGTTTTTGGAATAAATTTTTATCCAATGTAGGATAAGGCTCTTTTATGACATCTGTCTTTCAAATACTTCTAACTTTGTATTCAAACAAGACTGTCTGCCATTTTACTGTATGATTTTCATATTAATAAAATATTCTTTCAGTAGATATCTTAAGAGTTCCAAACAAACCTTTATATATTCTCCCTAAGCCTCTGTAATCCATCTGATCTGAACAGTTGAATACTACAACGTATTTTCCTAAAGCTTTGCCCATGTCCTTAGTTGTCTCAGTTTTTCCAGTACCTGCTGGACCTGTTGGTGAGCCACCCATGCTCATGCTTAGGGCTTGGGTTAAGGTTACATAACATCTAAGAAATATGGAAATTATCAGTGGTAAAGTACACTTTTACACATTTATGAATCCAGAAAAACAAAAATTAACATTAGTCACCATTAAAATCAATCATTTGAATGTTTTCAACATTGTTAATTATTCAAATATTAACAAAAAATAGAAAATAAATTAACTGACTACTTGTCCATGTGCATGAGTGCTTGCTCAAGTTAACATGTTAATGATTGTTAACAAAATGTATTTAACTACAAGCTTCAGATATAATTGGTTATACTATTTTCAAAGAGCATCTAATACACAAAGACACAGGTAGTTTAAAAAATAATAACAGTCTTTATTAACTTTAAAAAAACAAACCAACAGACAAACCTGTCAGTAAGAGGTGTAATCACCAGTCTCTCAGTGCATCCTAGAAATTCATTCTGGTATGTAAAGTTTACATCTGTTATTGAGATTATAGTTTTGTCAATATCTTCCTTGAAGTAAAAACGACACTGACGAAGCCATTCAAAGTCCAATGGTGATTTAATGTTCATTCGACACTATGCAAAAAATACCATTGTCAGAGCACATTCACTATACATAAAGCTATTTACATTCTTAGTTTTAAGTGGGTCCATTCTACTGAAGTAATAGTTCACATTTAAAACTACTATGACAATAAACATTATTACTTTTACAGCAATGACTGTGCCTGTACAGTATTATCTCAAATACTATAAAAACTTCATTTGAATTTTTTCTTCTCTTTATACAAAAGAAATTACTTTTACTGGCAAATGAAAAGTTATCTAGAGTCTTCTAAAAACATATGGTAATTAATGAAAGCAAATATAAAGGGTTAGTCAAAACTTTAATGTGCCATCCAATGCAAAATACCATATGGATCACAAGATATTGATAACCAATGATGTAATTATAAACATTCAGCTTATAGACACCCAATAAATGTTCTAGAAAGAACTGAGCTGTCTTTAGCTTAGACCTTATAAAACACAGTTGTAAAGCTTTCAAAGAATTCCCTTGTTAGTGGGAGAAAAACAAAATATTGCTTCCCTCATTATGTTAAATGGGAAGCTTATACATTTCATGGCTAGTAAGTTAAACTGTAAGTCAGCTCTTGACAACATTTTTATGGATATTTCTAACTCCTTCTAATGTTTTGAACAAGCCCAATGCTGATTTTTTTTCAGATTTAGGTTCAGTCAAGAAAAAAATGTGTATATAAAGTTTGAAGTATAACCTAACATGGCCAGAAAGACTGAAGATGCCCATAAAAAATTGTCAACACGTCAACAGACATCATTTTTCAAGCTTCACTGTGCTCACTTCATCTATCTGATATGTAAAAACCTTTAAACAACAACAACAAATAAAACTTAATAACTTAACCACCAGTCTCATTTCATAAATTAGTGGCCTTAAGCTATTAATCAGAGAGTCTGTTTTATGTGCAAACATTCTTTGTCACTCCTATTTGCAAGAATCTTGAGTGAGCTGTGAAGTACCACTATGTTACATTCACTGAAAATGGTTTAAATTCACTTGGATTATTATAAATCATCAACCTTGCATTTTCAAATTTGATGCCATCTCTAGTGGTTGATCCAATGTACCTAGGACTGCATATGAGATGTTTAAATAAATAAATAAATATATATATATACACACATACACTAAATTAGATGTTTTCAATGGTGATCTTTCATTTCCGTACTTGAAATATACATTCAGGTTTATAGCTAGCATTTAAATCAATATGTCAATAAGCTACATGAAAAAACTTACACAACTGATTTTTCACAATTGATAAATGTTTACCAACGTATGTATTGTATGACAATAGCACTTACTGACACAGGTTGTTTAAGAATGTTACATTTTAATTGCGTAAGATTATTGACTTTTATCTAAATAATCAGATATGATGTTATCAACATTATTATTTGGAAATTGCTATCTCTGTTTAAAAAACATTTTACTATTTTCAGATTCCTTATTCATATGTGCTTGTGATTTTCTAAGCAAAATTAGTCAATATTCCAATAAAATGCGTTTTAAGCAAGTCTAGGATAAAACTCACAAAAATTGAAGTATAAGCCAGTAAAATTGTTGTAACATACTTTGAACCCAAATTTGCCATTATTTTTGTATGTTAATGAATACAACAAAAACAAGTTGATGTTTCTGATGATGTTCTACTGTGAGTTTTATACAATTTTATTTACAATTAAACTACTTCAAAAACTGATTAAAATGTTAAAAAACATCAAAAAAGATGGCTCTGATAATATATAAAGTTCAAACTTCAAGGACAATCTTTAAACTCCTGATTTTCATTATAGCATAAGATCAAGTTGGCAAGTGACATGATGGTGCTAATCTTGGTTCCATAGCAATTCCATCAGTATAGGTGTTGTTATATAAAATATTCCTACACAAATATTGCCATATACTGGCAAACATGTAATAATCATAAAAAAATCAAGTTTGTAATAATTTTCATGGAGCTTATCTACATATTGATTTTTAAAATTTATCTTTACAACTGACTGTAGACTACAACATTTTTTCAGATTCAGTGATAAAATATCACTATTGAAAACATCTAATGTAGCAAATTATACAATTCTAGGTATATTGGATCAACCACTAGATGGCTACAAACAAGCATAAAAGAACATGCAAACTTGATGACATGTAACATTAACTATACCTAATCATGCTCTCAGTGAATATGATGTAGCAGAACAACATAGCTTGCCCAAGATTCTTGCAAAAGGGGAATGATGAGAAAAGACTGCATACAAAACAGAGACTTCTGACTAATAGATTAAAGATATAACTTTATGAAATGAGTTTGGCAGTTAATCTACTGTTGTGTATTAAACAACAGATACAATTTTACATTTTCTTATTATTTACATAATATAAATGATAATACAGCTTTATATATTTCTCATTTGAGTGTAACATACTTATACTTACTAATGAATCAAATATGTCCCTTTGATGGACATGAATTGTCACTAAAGTTTCAAATTTTGTGCGTTCCATAGGTCCCAAATCTTGTGTTGTTTCATCAATCAATGTATTCAACAGGTCAAGAATAGCTTCATTGGCAAGGGCCATTATCTTTTTATCAGTTATGGCTTGTTCCAAAGCATTCTCTGCATCTCTGGTCCAGATCATTTGAAGTCCAAGTAATCCCACCTGATATGACATCAATAATGCATGGTAATTAGGATATTTGTCCAACAAAATCACAGACCTGAATGTTCATTGATATTTTGTTCAGTTTACATAATAGTTTTGAGCAAAACACTAGTACTCTTTAAGGATTAATATCAAGGCTCAAAATACAGTTGTATACAAATAATTGAGATTTTTAGAGTTCACTCTCATACATACAGACACATAAAATGATCATTCATTACATCTTTTTACCTTAAACCATCAATAAACTTAAAAATCTTGAAAAATAACTCTTTTTGAGTAGTAAGGCTAAGTTAAAACAAAATCAAAATTCCAATACATTATTACATCACTTTTATAAGTACTATGTATCTGTATGCTTATTTATTAGTGGCCAATATAGTGTGATAACACATAGCTTATATACTGATTTTTAGTGTTACAGAATGTTGCTCTTTTAAGCACCATAAACTCATTTAAAATAACCAAAACAAAACTCATAATAAGGTCTTTTTGACTTCAAAATAATAGATTTAATCTTTTAAACCAAAAAATGAAATACAATCTTGAATTCAATAAACCAAAGAGAAAGTTCTTATTTGGATTCAAAGAAATGTGCACCTTATTTGTCACACACTTTAGCCCTTTAACCATGGGTACACCTTTAAGTCACTGTGTTACATTCAAAATTTAATTAAACACCTTTACTATCAATTTCTGTGAGTTAAGTTAACATTATAATGTATGTTATGATTCTAAGTCTTAAGTCCTTTATTTCAAAAGAAACCTTTAAAAACTATTTAAAACTTCAGATGTATTGTCACATAACCAACAGCTATGAAAAATTCTCTATTTTGGCACTCTATAACTTCAATAATACAATGGTAATTGTGTAGATGTAAGTCTAGACTATAAGATGCTTACATAACCTTGTATATTTCAAAGTTCTCTGAATGAATGCAGTTGAAACAAGTAATACATTTTTTCAACCCCTGACACGTGCCATGCCCACCTTCAACAGATTTGTTTGAGCTTTGTAGCCTGCATGTAGATGTTACATACACATATATATATTTATTAGAAAGACGTTATTTACACTATAATCCAACAATGGTTATTTTGAAATTGGCATGTAGTTGTCATGATGGAGTATATATAACTGACTGTAATATTGTTGGCTGCTTGATTGGCTATAGCACTCATGGTTGTTTCTTACCTAAATATGTTATAGTTAGAGATACAGTTTAAATTGTATTTAGGTCTTACAATTGTATTTTAGTTAATTATGTATTAGTTATGTTTTAAAATGCATAATTGAAAGATTTAAATGTCTTTTAAATATACATCATACTTTGAATCAGTTCTCAAGGCTTACAATATTATGCAATGCACAAAAATTATGCCAAACGGTTCTGCATGTCTGCTAGAGACACTGTGATATGCCTCGAGGGCACTGTTGACTTCTGTCAAGATGAATAATAAGTGGTACAGGACAAGAAAGGAATATAAAGCATTAACAATTAACTGCATGTGAAAAGGAAAAAGACCTGAAATTACAAATTTAACAAAAGGAAAATCTTTTTAAGATATTCTAAAAAAAAATTAAAAGACATATATATATATTTTCTATTTCATAATTTGAATTATTTCACTGCATTGTACATTGGTGATAACAGCTAAAGAGAAAATGAAAAATAAAATATAAACATTTACCTTAAAAAACTTTTGATATTTATGTAGGTGATTCTAGAAGTTATGCAAATGAAATATGAAAACTATAAGATGAGGAAAAGTATCTTTATATTTAAAACGAAAATCACATTGCACTCAAACTATTTTAACAGTTTGAGTACAAATAACTAATATAGATAAATAACATTTTTATCAGAAAGACATAATTAAAATAATGCAATTCTCTGTGTACAAAATACTTATAAACTTTAACAAAATCTTATGAAGTTTTTTTGACGAATGCTCACAGTTACCATAAGTTTTTGCATAAATGTTCTTCCCCAGTCAAAGTGACAGAAACTGCATCAGCCCAAGATGGAAGGGTTAAATTAATAAAGTTGATTCAAGTAGTTTTACCTCAGAAATACTGTATACCTATCCTTGATAAGTTTGCTCTCATGATATCAATAAAATATAAGTCTCAAAATTCTGAAAGTCCTTTATGCATTGCAGAACACACATCACTTACCCATAATTCTGTATTCTTCCACCTTCCATACGAGTTATTGTGCATACATTAAGAGATTAAAATAAGCTCTGATTTCCTGCCACGATTTAAATTTTTTTATTGACAGTTGTACTGTTAAACTGCACTCACTAAGAATTCTGACATCAAGATTTTTACTGTTGCAAACGTTTCCATCAATATTGGAAGTTTTAAACCTTTTTTTTTTTTGGTGGCCTTACACTCTTAGTCTGCCTCTCCCAAGGCCCTGTGGGTTTTCACATACATTCATGTGATTTCTCAATGGTGGAACATCCAAGCTTTTTCATTATAAAATTAATAAAATACACTATTTTTCTTAAACCTATTAATTTTCATTGTTTGAAGAGCAGGATTTGTCAGCTATCCTTATTTCTGAAGATGCTTCTGCTAGTTTGATTTATTTTTTTCCTTCAGTATGTCCTATTTTAAATCTTGAACTATTTTCTGTTATTTCTAAGGGTTCTACTGTCATGTTTGGTGACTCAGTTTTTACAATCTTCATATTTTCCACCTTCTATCTCCTGATTTTTCGGGTCACTGCTGACATTTTTAGAAATAATCTAATTGTTAGTTTCCTTTAAGCATAGGTGCCTTCTCAAACCTTTCATCTCACCTTGAAAGAGCTTTTTTCTTGCACTGTGTCTTTGCAGGATTTCACCTGTATTGATCGACCATTCAGGAGAAGCATGACAGCAGGAGCTGACTGGGGTTCTAGTATTTTGTTTTACTTCTGGTAGTCATTCCTTTTGAGGTGCCCAACAATTAATATTCATCCTTCTGCCTTGCCTCTCTTGTCTATTTCTACTCATTGCATTTGACTTTAACAAGCAGCCAAAAGTAGACATAAGCAAAGTGGATCTTTTCATCCATCATTCTATCATTTCTTCTTTTTCCAACTGGGAGTACTTTAGTCACCTCACTGCTCTTCTCTTCAGCTCCATAAGTTTTTTGTTTAGTAGTCTACTTTTTCTTTGCTGGACTTCTCCATCTACTTAACATCAATTTTTACATTTACACGGACAATTGTTTTATTCTGACCCTTTTGTACATTCAATCTTCTACTCACTCTTAGTTGACCATACAGCTGGCTACATCACTTTAATTTCTCATTTAGTACCAAGAAAGTAGCGATCGATGTGTTCGAAGGAAAATGAAGTTTGATTATAAACAAGATTACGACACTTATAATATACAACATTGTTTATTGAAAAAAAGGGGACATGGATAAACGTTTCGGAATTCTATCAGATTCAATCTTCAGTAGCTAAAGCAGAATAAAATGAATTTACATCAGTCTTTATACATTTTCAAAGTATACTTGCTAAATATAACGATAATTAAACAAATAAAACACTAAACAGTAATCATGGGGAGAAACTACAGCAAGAAAACACAACGAAAAAAAAACAAAAAATTAGTAATACGAACATATTAAAAAATGTTCTTGCTGTAGTTTCTCCCCATGATTACTGTTTAGTGTTTTATTTGTTCAATAAAATTTGAGTATATATAGATGTATACTATTATGAGTGTAAAGCTATTTAGGATAAACAAATATAGTTTCATATTACAAGTCGAAGTCATTCTAGAAAGAAGAAATGGGTAATTTAGATTTTTTTGGTGGATGTAAGGTAAGTCAAATTGACCAACCATGTATAACGTTAGGGGAGAGAAAATCTAACCTATATAAAAGCTAGTGTGTGTCACATCACATTTGATTTCTCAAGATAGGAGTCATAAAAGCATTTATCCAGATAGAATATTTCGATTAGTGTCTGCCCTTTATGATTTTAGTGATGGGGTACAAGGGGGCCATGAGGGGGGTATCATGAAACCTTATAAGTGTAGTGAGTGTTGGTATAATAAGTCTAAAGTAAAGATGTAGTGTGGGATCACTTAGCCTAGAGCCAAGTGCATAAAATTTATCATGAAAGAAAAAATATTGATTCAATTTTAAACTTAAATAGTTTCTGAATTGAGCTATTTTCTGTTTTATCACCAATATTTTTAATAAAAAAACAAACCTCTTTAATCAATGCAGACTCTAAATTAAGAAATTGACAAATATTTTTCCAGTTTTGTTGTATATATACATTTCATTTTATACTTTCAGTACATAGACTAACAACAATACTATGTTATACTTTTGTTGCTAAACAACATGACAACAACATTGGTGGAATGTAGTATTACCAAAATGCACGGACTTTTAATATATATATTAGAAGTTGTTAATGTAACTGATGTTAACCAATAATTATTCTATGAGTACACCACTAATTCATTTCATGAATGATCTCAAAGGAAGTTATTTATGTGTGACTGCCTTGACTGCACCTTTTTGCCTCTTTGTTGGTCAAGCTTGATTTTGCAAAATTTATTTATTTCAGTTAGCTATGAAATGTGAGGTTAGGGTATACTATGGTGTAGGGGTGGTAGAACTTGCCCCATCATTTTTGACTGGCTATTCACTAGTAACAGATAAAATATCATTTTAGTGAAAATAAACATTTGAAATTTATTTAAGAGGTTTTAAAATTTGAGATTTTTGAGATGAAGAAAAGTATTTTTAATCTTAACATGGAAATCACTTAGCACTCAGACTAGTATATTGAAATACTATATATATTTACATACAAATCTTTAGTAAAAATACTTCATTAAAAAATTTGATCTTTTGTGTACAGAAGATTTCTAATTTTATTAAAAGTCTGTCGGATTTTGTGAAGATATACTTATTGTATTAAAAGCTATAGTATGACAACTATAACAACCACAAAATGGGTATGAGGTCTGTCCC